CTTCCTGGCCATCCCCCCCCCCTCTGCGGGAGATGGAACAGAGGAAAGGGGGCTTCCCTTCCACTCGATTGCAACGTTGCTCGAGCCCCCTCTGGCTGGAACGCTTGAGGAGGAGGGCTCAGGGAAAGGGGGGCGGACCGGCGACAGCGACGGCCGCGGCGGCGACGACGGCGGCTCAAACGAGAAAGCCTCTCACGCACGCCGACGGGCGCGCAGTGCAGAGTGGGCCACAGGCTCAAGTGTGGGACATGGTGCTCCCTACATCGGGAAAATCGTCCGTGCTGGATGTGTATGTGAATTTCGGGAGGCGGTAGCTTCCATCGTGGTCGCACATGCACAGGGATACATACATACATGCATGCATGCATGCATACATACATACATACATATATACACATACATACCTACCTACCTACCTACCTACCTACCTACCTACCTACCTACATACATACATACATACATACATACATACATACATACATACATTCATACGCATGTGTATCTATAAATGTATATGTGTGTACCGTTGCGCTGCCGCGCGAATCCAGCCACCGCGCCTTGGGGGCGCGTTTGGGGGTCCTAGGGGGGAGGGGTGGGAGTGTGGGGGGGTCTGGAGGAGGCTGCCGGGGATCGTTGCGCCCGCACTCGTAGTTTTGCTGCAATGTTGTGCGCGAAGGGGGCGGACCCAGCGATTGTCCTCAAGGGTCCCAGGCATGTTTCGGCACGCCCCTCACACGGACCATGGCCCACAGGGAGCCCCACAAGTTTGTGGGCAACCCCCAGCCCAGTTTCGGTTCCTTGGCCCCGTCCCGTCTCACCATTTCTCCCCGTCCTCCGTCCCGGCCTCCCCCGTCCCTTCCAGCCCCTCCTGCTATCCACCCTCCTCGCAAGCCCCCGGCACGTTGCCCATCACCTGGGATGGGGGAGGAGAGGATGAATCGAGAGAGGAGGGGGGGGAGGAGGAGTTTCGGCACACCCACTCGCACGGACTGTGCCCCTCAGGTCGAGCAGTGGCGAAGCGTCTTGGCTTGCCTATGGGCCCACCAAAAAATCTTCAATGAACTGTTCCTGGTCTGCACGACATGCTCTCAGAACGTGTTTGGCTGAGACTGTTTGTCTTAAGGCATCGGATTTGAGTTCTAAGATTTTGCTATTGTTCTCAGAACATAACTCCGTGCGGGCGATACTAGAGCTTACCCCACCTTAGGGTTTTTTGTTATCCCGGTTCAACAGGATTCAATTGTGGAGAAGGGTGCGGAGGCCGAACTTTGTATTCCACGGCGTATAGCCACGATCTTCGAGATCTCTCGAGTCAGTCTTGTGCCGAGCGCCGGCTGGCTGGCTGTAGCCACGAGCATCGAGATCTCTCGAGTCAGTCTTGTGCCGAGCGCCCAGGATCACCATCATCATGATCATCGCCATCTTTTTCAGCACAAGTTCACCCTCCACAGGAAAATCCGTAAGGGCTTCGCCCCATGCCGCTTGCCCCCTGTCTCGGATAATGGGAGATGCAAAAGCTACATCATGATGTCTGGGCGCCGCAGTGAAGCAGTGTCGGGACCTGTTTGTTTTTCGACCCTGACCCAACGGATCTGCGTCACAGGTGCCACCGAATTTCAGAAATGTAGCAAATCCCCTGTGTTTTTGGACCCTTACCCTACGGATCTGCGTGAGGGGTGCCGCCGAATTTCAGAAATGTGGCAAATCCCTTGTGTTTTTGGATCCTGACCCTGCCGATCTGCGTGAGGGGTGCCACCGAATGTCAGACATGTGGCAAATCCTCTGTGTGTTTGGACCCTGCCCCTGCCAATCTGCGTGAGGGGTGCCGCCGAATTTCAGAAATGTGGCAAATCCTATATGTTTTTGGACCCAGACCCCGCCGATCTGAGGGGTGCCGCCGAATGCCAGAAATGTAGCAAATCCCATTTGTTTCTGCACCCTGACCCCGCCGATCTGCGTGAGGGGTGCCACCGAATGTCAGACATGTGGCACGTCCTGTGTGTTTTTGGACCCTGACCCCGCCGATCTGCGTGAGGGGCGCCGCCGAATTTCAGATATGCGGCAAATCCCTTATGTTTTTGGACCCAGACCCCGCCGATCTTCGTGAGAGGTGCCACCGAATGTCGGACATGTGGCAAATCCTATATTTTTTGGACCCTGACCCCGCCGATCTGCGTGAGGAGTGCCGCCGAATTTTAGACATGTGGCAAATCCCATGTGTTTTTGGACCCTGACCCCGCCGATCTGCGTGAGGGGTGTAAATTTTTACCCACGCCAGCAATTCAGACAACACGCTCAGGGCGTGGTAACGATGCTCGTTTTGGGCCTCCCCCCCTCGCGCGGCCCATCAACAAGGAACAGTAAGCAGCAAGAAGCAGAACTGTAACACAGTAAGCAGCAAGAAGCAGAACTGTAACAGTGGAACCTGGAAGCTGCAACTGGTACAGGAAATTGCGAACCTTCGTCCTACAGCCTGGTGGCCCCACAAGGGAGCATGGATCCTTGATTATTCCCGCCAGACCCCCGAACTTTATTATCCCCCGGATATTATATTATTGCCCGCGGTCGGTTACTTTCGTTCTAAGAACATTCGGTGGTAGGCCTGGCAGGAATGCCGGGACGGTCGGTCCCCGCCCCATCCGGGGGTTCCATGCGCGGCTTTGGAGGGAGTCCTCGCGTGCGGCTCCGAGCGGTCCTCGACAGATCGCATTTAAGGGGCCACATGTGAACCCTACCCCTGCCCCCCACGATTTCTGAGGGGGAGGGTGGGGTTCATTTCGCTCGGGAGCTCCCGAACGAAGTGAGCCCCACCCTCCCACTCGGAAATCGTGGGGGGCCAGGGGTAGGGTTCACACGTGGCCCTCTGGCATCGCTCCCCGCGGGGAGCTCTGGCGCGCCCCCCCTGCGCGCTTGCTCTCTGCAGAGCCCCGGCCGCCCTGCCCCGCGCGTTAAGGTGGGCGTGTCCCTCTACAGGAGGACTATTCCAAATTCCAAAATAGTCCAGAAACAGTCTGGGGATGATTTGTTGACAATTTTGCTAGATTTTTGCGACTTTGAGGGTATCTTTAATTTTTCGTCCGACATCCCCCTGTAGCGGGACATGCCCGACCAAACCCGAGCTCCACACCTCCCGCGGAACGCACGGACGCCTATCTTTCGCCTCCGCCCCCCCCCGTGGTCCTCCCCCCTCCCACTCGCCTCCGCCTCCTCGCCCTCTTCCTCGTCGTTGTCGTCGTCAGCATCCACTTCCCCCTCGCCTTTCTCTTCTCCTCCTGGTCCTCCTGCTCCCGAGGACGGGGCCACGCCCAGCCTCCACGACGACTCGATCCGAGTGCTGGTCTCCTCTCTCCTTTGATTGCTTCCTGAAAGCATCCCACCCCCTCCGCACATGCCTTTGGTTTGCTTCGCAGATTTTGGCGGCTTGTCTGTTGAAAAGCATACCATTGTTGGTAGTTCTTGCAATCGGAATGATTTCGGCGTTTCCGAACGGTTCTCCCGCCGAGGCGCGGGTCTCATTTTAGGATGGGCGCTTTGCTCCCGTCTTTCTGAATGGCGGTTTTGCCTTGACGCGGGCCGCTTTTCTGGATCCGACTCCTTCCTCGTTGTTGTCGCCCCGCTCCTTTCCCATCCCCCGCTTTCGCCTTCCCCTGGTCATCCTGCTCCTCCTGCTCCTCCTGCTCCTCCTGCTCCTCCTGCTCCTGCTCCTGTTGCTGCTGTCCCTCCTCGTCCTCCTGCTTCCTCCTCCTCCTCCTCCATTCCTTTTCCTTATGCATGATTTCTCCTTGTTGCACCCCGAAGCCAGTGTTTGGGGCGGGCCGGGCGTTTCGCCAGAAACTTCCTCACCGTGTACGATCCTGGAGCTCAAACAATTCGCAACAGCTTTGCGGATTGAGGGTGGGTCGTTTTCAAAATGTTAATCTCGCTCTAGCGCCGCGCACATTCGTTTTTAACATTTGCAAGAGCTTCACGGATTGAGGGCGGTTCGTTTTCAAATGTGGTTCTCGCCTTAGTGCCGCGCACATTCATTTTTAAATGTTGCAAGAGTTTCTCGGATTGATGGCGGGTCGTTTTCAACATGTGATTCTCGCTCCAGCACCGCGCACATTCGTTTTAAACATGTACAAGAGTTTCACGGATTGAGGGCGGGTGGCTTTCACCCCCATTGCTTATGTTCCTGAAGCAAAAAACGACGTGAGCCGCCGTGCGCTCCAACCAAGACTGGCCTGACCCCCACCCCGAAACGTTACAGGTCTCGATGATGGGGCAAACATTGTCCGTGGGAAACAAAACACATCTATAGGCCTGGTCAAGGGAGTCGTCGAGTCCGACGCCTGTGTGTTAGCTGTTTTTCACAGGCGCCGATGGGCATCTCCAGGGCGATTAAAAAGGGCTCGGAGAAACACACACACACACACTCGCAAGGCCACCTTGGCTCTAGCAAGAGTGTGTCGAAGCGCCCTAAAGAATGGCCCCTGGAGCGAAAAACGAGAACGAAGAAAGTGAGAGTCAGGCTGCGGTGCAGCAGGCGGCAAATCCGACGGGTATGCACGTGTGGGTGGCAGATCTGGCCAGCTCTCCACCCCCCCGGAAAAGTCCGTGGGTGCCGCACGAGGCCCGGACACGAATTGGACAGAGCTTCCGACGGGCAACCATCCGCCAAGTTTGAAACAGCCATCCCAGCTCAAATCAGGAGGAGCGGAGGGAAAGGAAGGAGAAGAGAGGAAATGGAGGTCAGAGTAAAGCCACGGGCTAAACAGAAGCCACTCCGCCTCCCCCTCCAGCCGCTCCTGGAGAGGGCTGCAAAATCTCGGCTGCCCGGGCACGGACGTCAGAGGCCTCAGCAGCGGAAGCAGAAGCAGGAAGCGTCAGCCGCCCCCGAAGCAGGAGCCGCCGCTGGGCCGCTGGCTGCACCGTCAGGCGCCGCTTCGGGAGCGTCTGCCTCGACCCGCCCGCCGTTTTTGTTCGCAGATAGGCGCTCGAGGTTTTGCCTTCTGCTCCGCCTTGAACTTCTCGAGGTTCTCCGCCGCAGACCCGAACAGTCTGGTAGCAGCCTCGCGAAGCTGCACCTGCAGAGCGGTAGTCCTGTCCGCCAGCTCCTTCTTTTCACCTTCAGAAAGATCGTAATCGCTTGGTATCGGCCACCAGAGAATCGAAGGTGATGGGAATCTCTTTGCCTGCCAAAATATCTTCCACGGTCAGCGAGGAGGGCGGAGGCGGCACTGTAGGGGCTGGTTCGGCAACTTCGTGATGAAGACGTTGCACCAACTCTTTATGCTTTGCCTCTGCCTGCTCCAATTCACTGGAAATAGACTGCACTCGCTCTCTTTGCTCTGCCAACAGCTTCTGGGTCGCCTCGAACTGCCCGACAGCTTTTCCAAGACAAGCCTCGAGCGTGCGCATGTTGTGGAAGGCGCGGTTAACCTGCTGTTCGAGGGGAGGCGGAGCTCTGGCAGCAAGCAGCGCCGACTCCTTCTCGCCCAGCATGATGCGGTACTTGTTGGTGGCCTCCTGGTCCCCGATTGCCACCAATGAAGCGACCAGACCCTTGAGCCGGTCGATCTCGACGGACAGAGTCGGGAACTGTAGAAGCCGACGGTGGTTGCTGTTGACCTGCACCGTGGGCACCGCTTGCGTGCCAGTCGCCTCCATCGACACCAGCGGGCTGACCACCAGCGAGAAAGAGAGGACCAGGACGCATAGGCAGACCGCCGCCACCGCCAGACGCGTTCGTCCACTGACCAGGCGGCGGGTAAGCCCAAACACCTCCAGGTCCACGGGGAGGAACGAATGCAGGCAGTTGACGAGACTGGCCACAATTCTTACATTGCTGCCAGCCTGCCTTATTCTTCTTGCACCCGCAACCGGAACACGTCCACTTACCACCCTGCAGTGGTGGCGCATATTGCTGCTGTTGGAGCCAGGGCGCGTACTGTCGCCATCTCGTGACTGCAGGCGGCGCCATGGCTGAAAGAAAGCCGTAGTTGAAAGGGGAACTCGCCCCGCGTTGAATGGCTCGCAGGAACGCGGGCCCTTCTGAAGAGTCGTCCCTGCAACACTCATTCTAGCGCAGAAGGGCTAGCAGGAGGGGGAGGAGGGGGAGGAGGGGAAGGAGGAGGAGGAGGAGGACGAGGAGGAGGAGGAGAGGAGGAGGAGAGGAGGAGGAGGAGGAGCAGGAGGAAGAGAGGGAGGAGGAGGAAGGAGGAGGAGGAGGAGGAGGAGGGGAGGGGGGAGGGGGAGGGGAGGGAGGGGAGGGAGGGACGGACGAACAGACGGACGGACGGACGGACGGACGGACGGAGGGAGGGAGGGGAGGGAACGGACGGGGACGGACGAGGGAGGGAGGAGGAAGGAGGGAGGGAGGGAGGTAGGGGGAGGAGCAGGAGGAGGATGAGGAGGAGGTGGAGGTGGAGGAGGGAGGAGGAGGAGGAGGAGGAGGAGGAGGAGGAGGAGGAGGAGCACGAGTAGGAGGAGGAGCAGGAGGAGGAGGAGCAGGAGGAGAGGGAGGAGGAGAAGGAGGAGGAGGAGAAGAGGAGAAGAGGAGGAGGAAAGAGGAGGAGAAGAGGAGGGGGAGGAGGAGGAGGAGAAGAAAGAGTAGGACAAGGAGGAGGAGAGAGGAGGAGGAGGAGGAGGAGGAGGAGGAGGAGGAGGAGGAGGAGGAGGAGGAGGAGGATCTCCCCATTCTCCCTCTTTCCCGTGCTACCTATCGTAGTGGTGGAAGAAAGTTGGCACATCAGCGGAGGAGAGGACACGAGGAGGAGGAGGAGGAGGAGGAGGAGGAGGAGGAGGATGCCTCGCCTCCTTCCTCCACCTCCTGCTCGTTCTCTTGCCGCCTCCCCACTTGTCCTCGTTCCTGTCCTCGTTCCGTCGAACTTCCCGTGCCCCTCCTCTCTGACGGGTACGACGGTGACGGCGACAACAAGTTCTACGTCGACGCCGATTGCGAAGCGGACGACAACGATTCGGCTCCTAGAAGCTTGTTGGGGCTTTGACAGTGTCGACAACATACATAAATCATGAGTCCTCGAACCTCCAGGCTGGACTGCGTCGGCGGCGGCATGAAGCGACGACGACGACGACGACGATCGGGGTTCGAGTTTTTGGGGCGATTTCCATTTTGTCACCCTACGGAGGCCTCTGGAGACGACGCCGTTGCCGACACCGACGCCGACGCCGCCGACGCCGACGCCCACGCCGATGCCGACGCCGACGCCGACGCCGACGCCGACGCCGCCGACGCCGACGCCGACGACGCCGACGCCGACGACGCCGACGCCGACGCCGACGACGACGACAGCGGCGACGACGACGACGCCGAGGACGACGACGACGACGACGACGACGACGACGAGGGCGAGGGCGACGACGACGACGACGACGACGGCGACGGCGACGCCGACGACTTCGAAGACGACGACGACCACGACGACGACAACGTCGACGACGCCGACAGCGCAGACGACGACGACGACGACGACGACGACGACGACGACGACGACGACGACGACGACGACGACGGCGGCGGCGGCGGCGGCGGCGGCCGCAGCGGCGGCCGGAGGACGAGCCGCTTGGCGGTGGCGCCCACCGGTCGGCCGCGGCGGCGGCAGGGCCGGCAGCGGGCGGCGGCTTGACCGCCGCCGCCCCGCGTTGCGGTGAGGCCGCGGGGAGTCGACGCCGACGGAGACGACGGCGACGCGACGAGAACCTTTTTCGAACGATTTTAGTTTTGCCTGTGCACCTGCAGGAGGCGTCGCCACGGCTGGACTCCCCTCGAGGTTCTTGGTCGGGACGCGCCGTTGTTGGAGAGGTCATGGCAGGGACCCTTGGGCTCTAGAGGGCTGCCATGAAGAAGCGCATGTGCGGCGCTGTAAGCCAGGAACATGGGGCGCAACGCCACCTTCTCTACGTAATCTCTGGGCCTGCCCGATTTACCAGGGAGGTGTTCGCTAAAGGCGCGCACGCGCGGCAGGCAAAATCTAGCTTTCCATTCAGTCTGACAGAGCGCCCGCCCAATTGTTACCGAAGACGCCTACGGCGAATCACCGCCGCCCTCTGCCTTTTTGGAAGCGCCTATGTGGCCGAACGTTGAGGCCAGACCTGCCAAGCCATCGGACCATGTGTTCCCCGAATCGGTTTGGAAAGCCTTCGGAGAACACGTGGGCATCTTGAAGGTCATCTTGGCCGTCTTGGAGGCCTCTTGGGCGATCGTTTCGGCGATCTTTGGGGGCTCTTGGGCCGTCTCGGGCCGTCGGAAGGCCGAAAAGAAGGAAATGTCAAAATCCGTCAAAAAACCTCCGGAAAATCAATGTTTTTGGCCTCTTCTGGCTTTTCTGGAGGCCCTCTTGTGGGGGCCTCTTGGGCCGTCTTGGGCCAGCTTCGAGGCAACTTCGGCCATCTTGGTGGGTTCCTGGCACGTCTGACGCCGTCGGGAGCCGTCTTGGGAGCCTGTCTGGGCCAACGGGGGACCCTCTTGGGGCGCTTCGGGGCCGTCTTGGAGGCCATCTTGGGCGTGTTGGAGGCCTCTTGGGCCTTCTTGGGGCCCTCTTCGGGCCATCTTGGGGGCCACTTGGGTCGTCATGGGGCCCTCTTGGAGGCCTCGTGGGCGATCTTGAGACGATCTTGGGGGCCTCTTGGGCCGTCTTGAGCCGTCTGAAGGCCGAACAGGCGAAAATGCCAAAATCCTTCAAAAACCTGAGGAAAATCAATGATTTTGGCCTCTTCGGGCCCTCCTGGAGAACCTCTCGACGGGCTCTTGGGCTGTCCTTGAGGCCTCTTAGGGGCCTCTTGGGCCGCCTTGGGCCATCTTGAGGCTATCTTAGGCCGTCTTGAGTACATCTATCTTAAAGCCATCTTAGCCGTCTTGGAGGCCATCCTGGCCGTCTTGGAGGCATCATGGAGGCCATCTTGGAGCCGTCTTGGGCAGGAAATTGGGGAATTGAGGTCCTTGGCAATCCTCCCGGGACCCTGGCGGGACGCGCCGGAGCCCCAGGGGGAGTTCTTTTGGAAAAAGAACCAAAACCAAAACCGTAATAGTCTGGCACGCCAAGCACCCATGTGATGAATCGACAGGGGGCGGCGGATATCGAAGACGCCTACGGCGAATCACCGCCGCCCCCTGCCTTTTTGGAAGCGCCTATGTGGCCGAACGTTGAGGCCAGACCTGCCAAGCTATCGGACCACGTGTTCCCCGAATCGGTTTGGAAAGCCTTCGGGGAACACGTGGGCATCTTGAAGGTCATCTTGCCGTCTTGGAGGCCTCTTGGGCAAGCTTTGGGCGATCTTTGGGGCTTTTTGGGCCGTCTCGGGCCAGCTTCGAGCGAACTTCGGCCATCTTGGTGGGTTCCTGGCACGTCTGAAGCTGTCGGAAGCCGTTTGGGGGGCCTCTATGGGCCGACTTGGGGCCCGCTTGGAATGCTCCAGGGCCGTCTTGGAGGCCATCTTGGGCGTCTGGGAGGCCATCTTGGGCGTGTTGGAGGCCTCTTGGGCCCTCTTGGGGCCCTCTAGGGGCCATCTTGGAGGCCACTTGGGCCATCATGGGGCTCTCTTGGGGGCCTCTTGGGCGATCTTGGGGGCTTCTTGGGCCGTCTTGAGCCGTCGGAGAGCCGAAAAGGCGCAAATGCCAAAATCCTTCAAAAACCAAGGGAGAATCAATGATTTTGGCCTCTTCGGACTCTCCTGGAGGACCTCTTGGAGGCCTCTTGGGCTGTCTGGGAGGCCTCTGGGGGGCCTCTTGGGCCGTCTTGGGCCGTCTTGGATTCTCTTGGGCCGTTTTGGAGGCCGTCTTGGACCATCTCGGGCGGACTTGGAGGCCATCTTGGGCCATCTTCGCGATTTGTTGAGGATGTCCCGAGCGAAACGGCCGTTTTTGGGCATTGACAGACGCATTTTGGGAAACGCGCGGGTGGCCGGCGGGACGGGCCGAAGCCCACTGGGGAGTTCTTTTAGAAAAAGAACCAAAACCAAAACTGAATCATCCAGCACGCCGTGCACCCCTGCAAGCAGGGGGCGGCGGATCGAAGACGCCTACGGCGAATCACCGCCGCCCCCTGCCTTTTTGGAAGCGCCTATGTGGCCGAACGTTGAGGCCAGACCTGCCAAGCTATCGGACCACGTGTTCCCCGAATCGGTTTGGAAAGCCTTCGGGGAACACGTGGGCATCTTGAAGGTCATCTTGGCCGTCTTGGAGGCCTCTTGGGCAAGCTTTGGGCGATCTTTGGGGCTTTTTGGGCCGTCTCGGGCCAGCTTCGAGCCAACTTCGGCCATCTTGGTGGGTTCCTGGCACGTCTGAAGCCGTCGGAAGCCGTTTGGGGGGCCTCTATGGGCCGACTTGGGGCCCGCTTGGAATGCTCCAGGGCCGTCTTGGAGGCCATCTTGGGCGTCTGGGAGGCCATCTGGGCGTGTTGGAGGCCTCTTGGGCCCTCTTGGGGCCCTCTAGGGGCCATCTTGGAGGCCACTTGGGCCATCATGGGGCTCTCTTGGGGGCCTCTTGGGCGATCTTGGGGGCTTCTTGGGCCGTCTTGAGCCGTCGGAGAGCCGAAAAGGCGCAAATGCCAAAATCCTTCAAAAACCAAGGGAGAATCAATGATTTTGGCCTCTTCGGACTCCTGGAGGACCTCTTGGAGTCCTCTTGGGCCGTCTGGGAGGCCTCTGGGGGGCCTCTTGGGCCGTCTTGGGCCGTCTTGGACTCTCTTGGGCCGTTTTGGAGGCCGTCTTGGACCATCTCGGGCGAACTTGGAGGCCATCTTGGGCCATCTTCGCGATTTTTT